AATCATTTCACCTCTAAACTTTCTTGCATTGCCTCACACATGAGTTTTTGGAGGATACCTAGTATCAAAACCATAACATGGTTTACAGTAAGTCTTAAAGATGGGTAGTGTTAGCTCTCTGACTTTTTTCTTCAATTAAGAATTAGTTATTCTGGGTATTTTTCCTCTCCAAATGAACTTGAATAATTTTTTTAATATCCACAAAATAACCTGCTCAGATTTTTGACTGAAATTGCACTGAATCTATAGATCATACTAGGGAAAACTAACCTCTTGATAATGTTGAGTCTTCCTATCCACAAACATTAAATATGTCTCCATTTATTTATTTCTTCTTTGCYATCTTTTATCTGAATTTTCTAGTATTCCTCATATAGACCTTATTTTTTTTAGAGTTATACCTCATTATTTAATTTTTAGGGGGCAAATGTAAATCACAATGTACTTTTATTTTCAAATCCCACTTGTTTATTGCTAAGTAGAAAAAAGCATTTAATTYTGTATGTTAACTTTTTACAACCTTACTATAATTGTTTATTTGTTTCAGGAGGGTTTCTGTAAATCCTTCAAATTGTCTTTTTTCCTTTCCAAACTATATACCTTTTATTCCCTTTTCTCTTCTTATTGCACTAGATAGGACCTTCTTCAGTATGATGCTAAAAAGCAGTAATGAGAAAAGATGTCTTTGCTTTGTTGCTGATCTTAGGGGAAAAACTTAGAGTTCCTTTACCAGTAAGTATAATGTTAGGTGAAGTATGATGTTCTTTATCAAGGTGAGGAATTTTCTCTCTGATCCCAGTTTGCTAAGAATTTCATGAATGGGTGTTAAATTCTGTTAAATGCTTTTCCTCCATCTACAGAAAAGATCATGTGATTCTTTTCTGATGTGATGAATTACATTAATTTCAACTGTTGAACCGATTTGGCATACTTGGGGTCAATCCTACTTAGTTTGTTGTAYGTAGTCTTTTTTAGGTATTGTTCAATTTGCTAATATTTTGTTGAACATTTGTGTCTATGTTCATGAGAAATATTGTTCTGTAATTTTCTTTTCTTGTAATGCCTTCGTCTGATTTTGGCATTAGATTTTGGTCTATAATAACCTCATAGAATGAGTTAGGAAATACACACATACACACACACACACACACACACACACACACACCCCTATATCCATTCCCTCTTGTGTGAATTTTGGCAGAGTGTACCTATCAAGAAATTGGTCCATTTCATCTACATTGTCAAATTTATGTAGTTGTTCATAATATTCCTTCACTGCTTTTTTTTAAAAAAATATTGTTTTAGTTGTTGATAGACCTTTATTTTATTAATTTATTTATATGCGGTGCTGAGAATTGAACCCAGTGCCTCACACATGCAAGGCAAATGCTCTACCACTAAGCCACAACCTCAGCCCCTCCTTCACTTCTCTTTAATGATCACAGGCTCCATAGTGATGTCTCCTCAATCATTTCTGATATTGGTAATTTGTATAATCCTTTTCTTTGTCCTAGTTAGCTTTGCTAAAAACATTAATTAYATTGATTTTTTTAAAATGGTTTTTGATTTTGGTTTATTTTCTCTATTCATTTCCTRTTTTCAATTTCACAGATTTTTTACTTTAATTTTATTATTTCTTTTCTTCTGCTTACTTCAAATTTAATCTTCTTTTTCTAGTTTTTTAAAGGGGAAGCTTTGAATATTGATTTAGACTTTGCTACTTTTCCAATTCACGCATTCTATGCCATAAAGTTCCTTCTAAACACTGCTTTTCCTATATATTACAAATTTTAGTAAACTGTATTTTTGTTCAGTTCAAAATATCTTGAAATTTATTCGGTGATTTCTTCTTTGATCTATGTGCTATTTAGAAGCAAAACACTGTCTCAAAATTAAAAAATAAATAAATTACAAAGAAATAAAGTGGCTGGAATGTATAKTAAAGCACCCTGAGGTTTTACCTCCTGTAAAAATAATATGAACAATGAAAGTTTTTATTTTGTTTTCACTTATTCATTCTTGATGCTCTTCCTTTCTTTACATAGATCTAAGTTCTGACCTATATCATTTTCCTTTTCTCTGAAGAACATCTTTTAACATTTTTGCAAGGAAGGCCTACTGGCAATGAATTTGTTCAATTTTGTTTGAGAAGTTATTTCTTTTACACTTAAATTTGTAGGATAAATTTGTAGGATATAGCAATCCTATATCCTACAGATAAATTTGTAGGATATAGCAATCTATGCTGAATTCTCTCTTTCAATACTTTAAATATTTTACTTCATTCTCTTCTTGCATGGTTTCTAAGAGGTCTGTAATTTATATCTTTGCTTCTATATGGATAAGGTGGGTTTCCCCCCATGGCTTCTTTCAAGATCTTTTTCTTTATCTTTGGTTTTCTGAAGTATGAATATGATATGACTAGTGTTGTTTTTTGTATATTTATTCTGCTCAGTTTTCTCTGAGCTTCCTGGATCTTGGGGTTTGGTATCTGATATTAATCTTGGGGAAATTCTCAATCATTGTTGTTTCAAATATCAGGGTAGATCCTGCTTCTCCTTTTACTATCTTTATTTTATTATGCGTACATGACATATTTTGTAGCTGTCCTAGAGCTCTAGGATGTTATGATCTGTTTTTCCCCCAATCTCTTTTCTCTTTGCTTTTCAGTTTTTGAAGTCTTTTTTATCGAATCTTCAAGCTCACAATTCTTTCTTTGGCTGTGTCAAGTCTACTATGAGCCCACCAAGGATATTCTTCATTTTGGTTATAGTGTTTTCAATCTTTGGCATTTATTATTATTATTTCTTAGAATTTTCACTTCTCTGCTATCAGTAGCCATCAGTTCTTTCATGTTGTCTACTTTTTGTCGATTGAAGCCATTAGAATATTAGTCATTTTTATTTTAAAAGATTCTTGTTCTGAGAATTCTAACATTTTTGCCATAGCTGACTATGATTGTGATATTTTTTCAGTCTCTTCAAACTGTTTTTTATATTACTTTTAGTATATCTTGTAATTTTTTGTTGAAAGAACAACATGCTATGAAAACATCATAAATCAGCCTTTTCTAATGTAATGATAAGTTGTGGAAGAGGGGAAACATTCTGTAGTCCTAAGATAATAGGACTTTTGGTGCATCTGTAACCCTAGACTGTGAACTTCACCAGTTCTTGTTTGGTTTTCTTTCTCCCCTTAGGTAGGGTAGAAAGGCTGGAGCAAGGCAGGTAGAATTGGGCATTTCCCATCCCCCAGGTTGGTTAAGCCAGAAGTACRAGGGAATTTCACTCCATTATTCACTATGAAGACCTGGTAGAGAGTTTCTAGAGATAAAACTCATAAAAATAGGGGAAACCTATGACTGGGTTTTACTGACATTTTTAACTATCAGATTTGTCCACATTGAGCCTCCAGAAATTCATAAATACAGTTTAGGTTTTCCCATCTGGCAATGGTTCCCATTGGTTTATGCTTGTGGGTTTATATTCTGGAAGGCTGTCTCTCAATGCTTGATAAAGCAGTTTGCCTTGTGACTTCACTTTTTTGACAGACCTAAGAAAGCTGAAAATCTTTTAGTTTGTTCAGTTTTTTTTACTTGTTAGGACAGAGTGGCAATTTTTAAGATTTCAAGATTCTTACATGGTAGATCTGAAAGTAGAAATTCTGCAACTGATTTTTTGTTTTGTTTTATTTTGTTTTAGATGTAGTTGGACAGAATACCTTGATTTTATTTTTATGTGGTGCTGAGGATCGAACCCAGTGTCCCCACACATGCTTGGCGAGTGCTCACAATCCCAGCCCCTCTGCAACTGATTTTTAATAATTTTGTATAATACTGGACCTCTAAGCAGCATTCAACATTGTTGACCACTTCCCTTTTGGGGCCTGAAATGCTCTGCTTTCTTGATTTCTATTACACCATATTCTGTTTATTTTCTTCCTTCTCTGGCCATTCTTCTTATCTATTTGTTTGTGGAGTTTTCTGTGATTAATCCTGGACATCCATTCTCTTCTTTACTCTAGATATTCCTTCCCAGGTGACTGCATACATTTCCATGATTTTAGAAATTATTATAAAATAGTACATCTCTTATGTTTTTTCCTGTCCTACAGATTGACAGCCAGTAGCCTTCCATTTCAAGTATCCTCAGACTTCCTATTTTTCCTATCACATTAAATAGTGCCTTTATCTACCAAAGCTGCTCAAGGTTTTTCTTAAAACCTCTCAGTACTTCATTCAGTATATCAATCCATCAATTCTATAGGTAAAAAATTATCTTGAATCTATGCATATATCCCATCTCTCCTATAAAATCCTCCAATCAAAACCACCACAATCTCTCACCAATATGCTTTTAACTTCTTACAAATGGGTCTTCCTTCTAGCACCTTTGCTCTTTTTAAATTTGCACTCTGATCTATGCAATGGTTGGTATAGTATAATGGAAAGAGTACAGGTTTTATATCAGGAAGATTTGCTACAAAACTCCTTGAAAAAATTAATACAAATCCAAAACTCAGTTTTCTCAGCTATACAATATGTATAACAAAATAAATAAAAAACTACTTACCTTATCAGACTGATAAAACGAAAATATAAAACTAGTGAAAAGTCACTCAAAGTTATTACTACATACAAAATAAAGCCCAAATTCTTCCCCTAATACCCTTAAATTCCAATCTAACATCCTGGCTTACAAATAATTTTCAGCAGAAAACATTAATATGCCTGATTTTTAACTTAATCACTAATGGACATCCAAATAGTAAAAGGAAATTTTAGGGAAAAGCAAAATACATTTTAATTTTCTTTTACTAAACTTATATAGAGTACATATTCATGTATATGTTACATAGGTTTTTCACAATATTAAATAATCTAATTGTTAAACTCCAAAAAAATGCTTTTGATATTGCCTTAAATAGCTGAAGTACATTTCCTATAAAAGTGTTACTTAAAAAAATTATGATTTAAGTAGTTATTCTACTTCAATACTTGCTTTCTTCTTTGATTTTTCAGGAGTTGAAGGGCAAGTTTTTTCAGCAAGTAAAACCTCACAAGCTGTATTATCTGTAAATAAATACACAGTTTAATACTCTATTTAACCATTAACTTTTTTTTCTTTACTCCTATTTTTTCTTCTGCCATTAACTTTAAATATGGAGGACAGAGACTTCAAATTCAAAACAAACTAAGAAAAAAGCCTCTGATTTTAATTACTGTGCCTTTGTAATAATTTAAGAAGAAAAACTTACTGTATGTTGAATAGTCTGATTTGCCTCAGGAGAATATAATCATACAAATATCTTTATCTCAAGAGCTCTAGGTTTCATAGCAGTAAACAATGTATAGGAGATTTTCCTTTCAGTTAGTGACAAATGTGTATGTAATTAAAATTCTTTATTCATTGTTGTACGATTTCACCTGACTGTATTTTCAGGGTCCCCCTTTCTATTACAATTTTTCTATAAGTATTTATTTAGACAGGATCTTGCTGTGTTGCCCAGTCTGGTCTTGAACTCCTGGGCTCAAGGGTTTCTCCTGTTTTAGCTTTATGAGCAGCTGGGATTAAGGGTATATATCAGTATTTAAAACAAACTCAAGTCTTGCTTATCTTTTTTTAAAAATATTTTTTAGTTGTTGATGTACCTTTATTTTTCATATATTTATCTGTGGTGCTGAGGATCAAACTCAGTGCCTCACACATGCCAAGCAAGTGCTCTGCCACTGAGCTACAACCTCAGCCCCAAGTCTTGCTTATCTTATCAAAAACTTTCCCTGTATCCCATATCCTATGTCCCACTAAGAGCAGAAACCTTTCCTGACACTGGCCCTCAATACAAACAGGTATGAACTTGTCCCTTCTCTGGCCCTCTTGATGGCTTTTCTTCAGTCTTCCCTTTTCCTTACTCTCCAGACTCAACCCCAAACAACAATATATATTGAATGTCTACCTATAACATCCCAATTTTAACATATGTACGTAATATAGCATATTATCTTTCTTTAAAATTTACAGCATAAATTTGATTTAAGGCACCAAGAGATTTGTCTTTAGATTATTCCAGTAGCTTTTCAATTCACCTCCCTCTGTAGTCAGTCCATTGTCTTCCATGTATACCTAAACTACAACTTATTATCATTTGTTTAAAACTCTCCAAAGTTTTTCCACTATCCTTAAGTTAAAATGCAAACTCTTTAATTTGGCATACAAAGTTTTTCTTTTTTGTGCTTTATATATTGCTTACATATTCCTCAGCTCATCACAGAGGCTAACAATGTTGCAAAAAAAAAAAATACAAGCTGACAAGTTAAATCTGAATTTCAGATAAACATATTGTGTATCCCATGTAATAGTAAAAGCATGTGYAATACTTGGGACATACTTATATTAAAGTATTTATTATTTGCTATTTATCTGAATTCATATTTGACTGGGCATTCTACATTTTTATTTGCCAAATCCAGCAAGTCTGGTGGCTGATATTCATGCCATCTTCATCACCCATGGTAAAAAGAAGTAGGTGGGTTTGAGAGTTCTATAGGAGATAAAACTGGTGCCAGGATTTTACAATTGGATAGATAGAAAAGTAACAAAAGGGAGTGTTGAGGATCACCCCAGGTTTCTGGCTAATTTGCTCAAATTGGGACCAGATTACTGATGTGACAATTCTCAGTCCTCAATTCTCATTTTATTTAATCTCTTGATTACTTTTGTCACAGCTGGGATCATTCCCTCCTGAGGTACTCCTCTCATGGCCTCTGAGGTACCATTCTTTCCTCGTTTTCTTACTACTGCCACTAACCAGTAACTTTGCTAGTAGATACTTCACTCTTTACTCACTTCTAAATGTTGAAGGGTCCCATTTACATTTTTACATGTTTCTTTTCTATTTATTTTTACTTCCTACATGATTCATCTAATCCTATGGCCTTAAACATCTAAATACTAATTCTAAATATATATATATCTACAGTCTTAGTTTCTAAATTCCAGGCTCCTGTGTCACAAACTGCCTTCATGCTATCTCAACTTGCAGGCTAATAAACCTCTCAAATTTTAAATATTTTATCAAGCTATATCATATATACTGTAACAGTCACTAGTCTTATACGTAYATGTATTCATAAATGTCAACACCATCCACATCAATATATAAAACATTTCTGGAACCCTAGAAATTTTCCATGCATTATTTCCCAGTTGGCACCCCTTTTCCAAAGATTACCAATATTCTGACTTCTATAATCTTGCCTGTTCTTAAAGTAAGTGGAATTACAAAAGTAATCAAGAGATTAAATAAAGTGAGAATTGAGGACTGAGAATTGTCACATCCCTAATCTGGTCCCAATTTGAGCAAATTAGCCAAAAAYCTGGGAGTGATCCTCAACACTCCCTTTTGTTACTTTTCTATCTATCCAATTGTAAAATCCTGGCACCAGTTTTATCTCCTATAGAACTCTCAAACCCACCTACTTCTTTTTACCATGGGTGATGAAGATGGCATGAATGATTAGCCACCAGACTTGCTGGATTTGGGAAACAAAGATGTAGAATTACACATATGTACATATTTGGGCCAATATTCTTTCATGCAAATATGTGAGTAAGCTAACAGATCAAATTTAATATGTCTAAAACAAGCTCTCTTCATCATTCTCCCAACTTACTCTGCCCTATATTGATSCCGTCTCAATAAATAGTAACACCATTCATCTAGTGGCTAGTTGCTCAAGCCAAGAATTTAATATTTACTTTATACTTCTATTTTTCTCTCTTACCTAATATCCAGATTAATCAGAAAATCCTGGCACATCTGTTTTTAGAATAGATTTCAAATGATTACTACCACTATATTAGTATGACACTATTATCTGACCAGGGCAATAGTTTAACAAGCTCTCCTTATTTACATTCTTCCCCTTTGCCTGTTCTCTATGTGGAAGCCAGAGTGATAATTCTAACATATGTCTAAGTATCTAGAACATCGAATAATAATACCACTTTAAACATCAAGACCATAGAAACATTTAACATAGGGCATAGGACCCAAAGGCTGTTGGAAACTTGGGAGTTTTTTCAGCTTGGAGTTTTCTCCCCTGAGGAGGTGGTTTTAACAGTTAGATCAGTGAGAAATAGCAGTCTTCCCGATATTTAGATTATTTCTCACCTCACCACAAGATATATACCCTAGAATGGTGGTTTACAATGTGGTAGGCACCAGTCTCATGAGGCTATTTAAATTTAAATTAATTAAAATGAGATGTGACTTAAAATTAAAAATTAAAATATATACCTGATCACATCCTCCCATTGCACTAATAYGGTTTAACACACATTCACAATAAAATCCTTAGTCTTTATCACAGCATGTGAGATTTTACATTATACTACTTGACTAATTCTCTGACCACAATTTTAACTATTCATCTTCTTACTCTACTTCTGCCACATTAATCTCTTTCCTCTTCCTCACGCATGCCAAGCACATCCCACATCTCATGGTCTTTTTGCCCCTAGATTTGCACATGGCCCACTCTTTAGCTCTGCATAAATGCTACTTCCTCAAATAGGCCTATCCTGATTACCTAAAATAGCACACTAGWTACTTTCTTTTTTTTTTTTTTAAATATTTATTTCTTAGTTCTCGGCGGACACAACATCTTTGTTGGTATGTGGTGCTGGGGATCGAACCCGGGCCGCACGCATGCCAGACGAGCGCGCTACCGCCTGAGCCACATTCCCAGYCCCACTAGTTACTTTCTTTACCTTGATTTATTTTCACTTATTACTCTATTTATACCTGATGATATAAATTTATTAGTTTATCTTTTTTTTTTATCTTTCTCCCACTACTATACATGAGCTCCATTTGGGCAAGAACCTTGTCATGTTTCCCAGYAGCTAAAATAGTTTGTGTCACATTGTAGGTACTTAATATTTGCTGAGGGAACTGAATGGTGAGTTGAGATGCCTCTGAAACAACCAAGAGGATATATCCAGAAGGCAGCTGCATAAAAGGGTCTGAACCTCAGAGGAGAGTTAGGCTGAGGGAACATTAGAAAGCCTGCCTATAGGCCAGAATGTCTATACTTACACATCATGTGGTAGGTTAAAAAGAGATGGAGCTAGCTATGAAAATTTTCCATACTTAAAGACTAACAGCAATAGATAAGATTGCAAAGGAGCCTCAGCAGGAGTTGCCTGGGAAGTAATTTTTTGTTTGTCTCTGTTACTAGACTACAGGTTCTTAGGGGCAGGAATACAATAATTTCTCAATTTCCTAACACTTAATAAAGAGCCGTTAAAAAAATGAAACCTATTTGGATTTGTTGAATTAAGGAATGTGTAAAAAATGTCTATGAAGCAAGATGTGATTTATTTAATTGCAAATTTCAAGTTAATCAACACTTAAAAGTAAATACAAAAGCATACATTATTCCAGAATCACTACTCTGCCTTATCCCCATGCTTTATAAACAATATTTTCTACTGMCAAAGCAATATATTTGATTTGCCAAGACCAAGGAAAAATCATGGTTGTATTGGTATCTATCATTTTCCCTTTCATTACTTCTATTATTCACACATCCCCTTAYACTTAAATCTATAAAACAAAGTCTCTTTTTTAAAATGTATTTTAGTTGTCGATTGACCTTTATTTATTTATTTATATGTGGTGCAGAGAATTGAACCCAGTTCCTCACACATGACAGGCAAGCACTCTGCCACTGAGCCACAACCCCCAGCCCAACAAAGTCTCTTAATATTTACCCTTACTATGACTCCTTTCAGGATCTGTACTTTTACAAGTTTAGTTTTTATTACTAGACTTATTTTGCTAACAACAGAAATTATCTTAATCATTTTTATACTTAGAATATAAATTTTAAATATAAGAGAAAACTTACTAAAATCAATATCCTTTTCTCTTTTTACACTTCCACAAATGACACTGTCCTCAGTTCTAGCTAAATATTCCTAAAATGATGACTGGCATTTAGTAAATTCTCATTAAAACAACTTTTTAAAAAATTTTTTTAATATTTATTTTTTAGTTTTCGGCTGACACAACATCTTTGTTTGTATGTGGTGCTGAGGATCGAACCTGGGCSGCATACATGCCAGGCGAGCACACTACCGCTTGAGCCACATCCCCAGCCCAAAACAACTTCTTAAAGTGAAGACTATACAAATAAAAATATATGTTTAGTTCATACAAGAACTTACATCCATCAAAAGTACAACCAGCATTTCTTATATGCATACTCTCAATGAGACACAATAAAACTTGTTACAGGAAAAAATTATAATACAAACCTAATATATAGCAGAAGTTAATAGGATGTAAATGTCRTGCTATGTTTATTCTAATAAATAACAAAGTGCCAAAATGCAGGACACTTTGTTGATCCCATTATTTTTCAATCATCTCATATACCACAATATATCAGTTTTCTTATTGTCCTTTTTTAGTACTGAAACTTACATGGGCAGGGAAAGCATGTCACTTCCCACTAGTATACATAATAATGCCTTAGAGGACATAATCAGTAAATATTTATTAAATGGATAAATGATGGGTGTTTTAGGGAGAGTCAAGACCCTACATATCTTTATTTCTTAAATACAACCATGCTAAAAAGCCCTCAATTTCCTGGGGTAACTATTTTGTTAGTATAAGTTATACTRTAACAAAATAAAAGACATGAAAATAATTCATTTCACTATTACCTGATTTTGAATTTGAAGTAAACTTTGGTTTTGGAGAAATACATTGGTCTGCTAATGTCATCACTCTGTAATAAGAACAAATTTAGTAGTATTTTCTTATCATTCAGTAACTTTGAAGACTCCTCAGATATTACTTAAAATAAAGACATTCATATGTAATTAATTATTTTGTAGAAAAAATAAAATTGGTTAGAAAAAAATATCATCACATCTATAGGAACAAATAATTTCATAAGAAAAGGCAATATGTTTACACATTTATCAGTGTGAGGACAATTAATTATGTTTGAAATCAGACAGAACTGGGTTTTGCTACCTATAATTGTGTGGCCTTGAGAAAGCTGCTTAACCTGTCTTAAGTCTTGTTTACCTCATCTATGCAAAAGGGATATCAATCCTGTTTCCCAGGATTCTTATGGTTAGGATTTCAAATATGATAAATCCTTTTCTCTTTTCTATTTCCAGAAATAAGACCATGCTTAATTCTACCTAAACATGTAGGAGAAGACTAGCCATTATAAGAGGAATATAAAAACATCAACAATGGATTCCTACTAAGAAAGTTGAAAACCAAATTAAAGAAGATAATTTTCCAAACTCCTACTATCAGTTAACTGAAAAGTTAAATTCATCAGAAAATAATCTTATTCTTTTAAAAAAAATTTTTTAATTGTAGATGGACACAATATTTTTCTTTCTTTTTATGTGATGCTGAGGATCAAACTCAGTGCTTCACACCTGCAAGGCAAGCACTCTACCACTGAGCTACAGCCACAGCCCCCTCTTATTCCCCTCTTATTTCCCTTTAAGCTCATTGTCAGCTCTGAATGAACTATCAAGTGGATTTTTTTATACTAATACTTTTTGGGTATTTTCTTGTAAAAAAACTTTTTTAAGGTAATTAAAAAAAACAAAAACAATACAACATCACACTCAGAACATGCAGTGGAGAAAGCAACATGGTTGGTTTCTTTTTCTTTCCCCTCTGCTTTTTTTGGTTCCTCTGGCATTGAATTAGAAGAAAAGAGCTGTAGAAAGGGTTTGTTGCTCTTGACTGATACTGTTATAAAATGCCATTGGTATCCTTTGGGTGTGAGAGATAACCAAATGCTAATTCTTTCCAACTTTTAAGTATTTCAAGGGGTTTGTAGGAGAATTCCCTACCAATGGGGCTTTTACACTTGTTGCTGTTTCTGATCTCTGTTTTTTCCTTTGATGATAGACCAGTCAGCCTCTTTAGATTGAGGTTGTTACCTTACCCTTTGCATTAAGGCATACTGGACATGATCTCTTTCAAAGAGGTCCAAAATTGGCCCCCTTCTTTAGAATTCATGCCTGATTTATAGGTATTGTGCACAAATCTTTGTTGTGACAAACTCTGAAAGTACCTCTAACTTTCTATTCTTCCATTTCAAAGAATCTAACTCTTGCCTTTAGATTTTTCAGGTGTGAGTCAACAACTAAATTCCAAGGGATATAGGTTGACTGTTCTAAATGGTCCTCTTGTAGCTTCTTACTTGTGTTGAGATGAGGAAAAAAATCTCCTCACTCCTTTTACATGACACAAATAACTAGTATTAAAGAAACAGGCATTCTTGAGGTCTTTTCATATATACTCCATATACTCTTAGCCTCTTCTGAAATAGCTTGGAGAGAGGTGATAGGCTAATGCTGGCAGAACTAGGTTTTGACAACTGGGTTTTGACCTTATCTTTCACAAATTCTGCACAGAAGCGGGAGGGGTGGGGATACTTGTCATTTATTTTGTTTTCCTCCATGAGGCCACTGTCCAAATCTAAGACAAAAATAAAAGCCACAATTAACATTCCTGACAACATATATGTTAAGACACATCCACAAAGTTTTACTCTTGCTGTGTGTGTGTGTGTGTGTGTGTGTGTGAGAGAGAGAGAGAGAGAGAGGGAGTGAGGGAGAGAAAAAGAGAGACAGATCCTTCCTCCATGACCCCCCGGATAAAGGATTATAGATTTGCAATTAAACAATAGAAACTGACTTCTTCAAATTCAAAATCTGTAAATGGGCCAGGTGTGGTGGCACATGCCTGTAACCCTAGCAGCTCGGGAGGCTGAGGCAAGAGGATTACAAGTTCCAGGCCAGCCTTGGCAACTTAGTAAGGCCCTAAGCAATTTAGTGAGACCCTGTCTCAACATAAAAAAATAAAAAGGGCTGGGGATGTGCCTCAGCCTCCCGAGTTTCTGGGATTACTGGTATGTGCCATCACACCTGGCTCCAACCCACTCTTACATTGCCATTTATGTTTCCTTACCTAGTGAATAAGTCATCATCTCTCCTGACCCAATCAGTCATTAAAAACTATTGATTATTCCTTATAAATTGTTCTCAAATTATTTCTTCTGTGGTTGCTGCTAAATAAAATTCAGGTCTTACTTGGAATGCTATAATAATCACCTCTTCAATCTAATCATTTCTTCTAATACATCTTTTTCTTTGCATCTTTTTATTGCTTTAAGACAGAAATCTGATCAGGCACATTTCTGTGAAGAGGCAGGAATTCTGGTTAGGTACTGCAAAAATGCCAAAAAAATCTACACTCAATGGGACTGAGGTTGTGGTTCAGCGGTAGAGTGCTCGCCTCCTAYTTGCGAAGTCCTGAGTTCGATCCTCAGTACCACATAAAAATAAATAAATAAAATAAAAAGGTATTGTGTCCAACTACCACTAAAAAATAATAATAAAAAAATCTACACTCAAGGATACCCTTGCCAGGTGTAGTACACATTTGTAATCCCAATGACTCAGGAGGCTCAAACAGGAAGACAGCAAATTTAAGGTCAGCCTCAACAATTTGGCAAAAACCTGTCTCAAAATTTAAAAATGACTAGAGCATGCTGGGTTCATTTCCCCATATCAGAAAAAAAAGTTAATTTATCTTCACTACCACACTTGTGTCAGCACAGAATACTTGCACTTTAGACTCCAACAGAAGACAACATTATTCATTTTGCCATTTAAATCTGGGGGGAAAATCTAATTATAAGACAGTAAAAGTTTTACACAACAATTTGAAAGACACAAAATCTATCAAATAGCTCTAGACTTTTTCATTGTATCTTAAGAAATTCAGAGCCAAAATCTGACACAATTAAAGCATCTGACTTTTAACTCTTATGGCTTATTTATTTTTGTTCTAACTCCCTTTCTATATATATATATATATATATATATATATATATATATGTATCTCCTATAAAGAACTAATTTCTTTGATCATCTTTTTTACAGCTTAATTGAGATATAATTCATACATAATACACTTCATTAATTTAATGTGTAAACTTCAATAGTTTTTAGAATATGCATAGTGTTATGTATCCATCATAATCACAACCAATTTTTGATTATTTTCATCACCCCCAAACAAAACATTATACCTATTTCCATTAGCAGTTAATCACCATTTCTTTCCAAACCTCTCAGCTATAGGCAATTACTAACCAACTTTCTGTCTGTATTTATTTGTGTATTATGGACACCTCAGATGACTATAATCATAAAATATGTGGTCTTGTGTGACTGTCTTTTTTCATTTAGCATAATAATTTCAGGGTTGATTCATGTTGAGGCCTATATCAGTATTTCATTCATTTTTATTGCTGAACAATATTTCATTATATGGATATACCATATAATATTTACTCATTCATAAGTAAATCGACAGCTGGGCTGTTTCTACTTTTTTGGGAATTATGTATAAAGTTGCTATGAACATTCATGTGTAAGTTTTTGTGTAGACATATGTTTTTATTTCTCTTAGGTTTGTGTATCTAGAAGTAGATTGCTGAATCATATGGTAACTACATGTTTCACATTTTGAGAAACTGCCAAATTTTTTCAAAGCTGCTTTGCTATTTAAAATTCCTATCAGCAATATCTGAGGAAGAATACATTTCAATTTCTCCACATCCAATAATTCCATCTGTTACCGCCTGTCTTTTTTTTATATTTATTTTTTAGATGTAGGTGGACACAATATTTATTTCATTTTTAAATGGTGCTGAGGTTTGAACCCCGTGCCTCATGTGAGCTAGGCAAGCACTCTACCCCTGAGCCACAATCACAGCCTCTACCATCTGTCTTTTTGATTTTAGCTTTCTTAGAAAGTGTGAAGTGGTATCTTGTAGTTTTGGTTTTCATTTCCCTAATGGTTAATGATACTGAAAATTTTTTCATGTTCAGATCCTTTGTCCATTGTTAAACTGGCTTATTTGTCCTTTTATTGTTATATGAGTTCTTTATATATATTATGGATATAAGTCCCTTATCAGATATAGAATCTGAAAACATTTTCTCCCATTCTGTGGTGTCTCCTATCTTTGTTTTTAAACTTATATGAATTTTCTGTAAGTTCTTTCAAATTCTTTGAGGGTTAACACATTTTAAAAATTTCATAATGTGCTACAGTCCTACTGAAAATTGGTCAGAGGCTGTCAACACATTCAGGATAAAATAAAAAAATCCCAGGCTTTAAGGTCATACATGATCCAGACTGTGACCACCTCCTTCAATCTACATCCTGTCTCTCTCATGAAGCACCCTCTACCATTTAGTCCACATGCCACTAATAAAACTCTTTCTCTACTAATATGCTTGTCCTCAGTGTTCCCCGTCTTAATAATTGGTAACTCCATTCTTTTCTTTTTTCCTTGAAGGAGCTCCCAAAGCAAGAAATATTGACATCATTTTTTGAATAATAATAGTAATTCCATCTGGTACAGGCTTGTTTGAATTAAATCCTAATAGATATAACGTTTTTAAGTCCATTACATGCATAATTCATCATTATTTGTTCCCAGGAGCCAACAAAAGTCAATCTTTTCTTAAGCTTTAACAAAGCTACAGTGTGTATTTTGTGAAAATTCCTAAGGCAATACTGAACACTACACTGGGATGGCAGGTCCTTTTTGGCAATTTACAATGAACAGATTATTTTTCAGACTACTAAGAATATAAAGAATTATAAGTCCAAATCAATTTAGTAAAAATTATACAATTATTTGTAATCCATAGTATTGATTATTTTTCCACAATAGTGCATTTCATACAATATGAATTTAGCAAAGAAAATGTGCCTTGCCACCATAAACATACATTGGAGAAAAGATAGCCTCTTCAACAAATGGTGCTGGGAAAACTGGAAATCCATATGTAGCAGAATGAAATTGAACCCCTATTTCTCACCCTACATAAAAATCAACTCAAAGTGTGGATTGAAGACGTAGACATTGGACCAGAGACTCTGTGCCTACTAGAAGAAAATGTAGGCCCAACTCTCTCTCCATCATGTTGGCTTAGGAACCGACTTCCTCAACAAGACTCCTAAAGTACAAGAAGTAAAATCAAGAATCAATAAATGGGATAGTATCAAACTAAAAGCTCTTCACAACAAAGGAAACAATCAAGAATGTGAAGAGAGAGCCTACAGAATGGGAGAAATTGTTTATCACCTGTACCTCAGAGCATTAATCTCCAGGATATACAAAGAACTCAAAAAATTTCACACACACACACACACACACACA